GCCAGTAATAATATACAGATTACATGAGCACGATAAGTTTAACACCGTCATTATGACATAGTTTTTAGGCTGTCAATAATGTGTTAGTTCACTTTGTTGTCGTATCGTTTGGCGTGATCAAGGCCTGGCTTAATTAGTATGCGCCTATTTGTTCGGCATGCTCTCCATGCAAGCTCTTTAAACTTGCTACCCAAGAGTCTGCAGCAGAAGTATAGCAAGCATACTCACGTCACCGAGTATGAGACCTGCATGGTCGAATAATGCGCCTAGACAAAATTACGTTACATTACATACAATGTCGTTTATGCCCCATTTTGTATAGCTTTACTATGTCACAAGACCGTTGATTTCTCTTCAGGTGACTGTACGAGTTTTGTTAATGGCCCATTGCACCAAAAAAGTTGATTGTAGGAAAAACCTGTAACAATAATGGATGTCATAGGTTGACGTAAGACGAATTAATCATTTGGTGATAGCATAGGCATAAAAGATTTATCCAAATTAAGTCAATCTCCATCCAGATAATGCCAGTCTCATGTAGCAAATAAAAGTCTTTCAAAAACATTAAAAGGTTTTTAGCACTAGATTGTCAATTGCGTATCGGTGATGCAGGTCAATCACGGACTCGGCCACGCTAAATGTCCTAGTTGAATTTATTTATCTAAAATTGTATATAGACAATCTTTTTCTTTTTTTTTTTTTGTATAATCCGATTGCTGACGTTTCATGAGTATCGAAAGTTACTTGCTAGGAGCTGAATTACTTTATGTTTGAAGGAGCGCGATAACCTTCGCAAATGCAGTAACAGTTATCTGCGAACCTTGTGAATTACAAGCGTCAGTTGACTCGCTATAGTAGAACGAATAGAGCACTCTACCTGCAGTGAGACTCTGTAAAATGTTACATGTCAAATAAGTATAAATGCGGATAAGCGCGGCATTAAATGCTCAACGTTTTTAATGTTAATTGTACTCTGTTAGTTTTACACAAATGCATTCAAAATGTAAATAAGTATCGCGTGAAAGTTACCAACGTAAATTTAAGCCTCGTTTAATTTAGTTTTTATAAAGCATGCAGGCGAAGCCAAAGTCTTAGAGTGTACTCTTAAAATTGAAAAAGCTGTATAAGTTTGTTAATAACATTATTTATGTAACAGCCAACAGCTCTCAGCAAAATTAGACTGGCGATTCTGCAAATTTCTATATTTATAATGAGGAATTGCGGTGAACACTTAATAATATCGAACATAATAATAATAATAATAACATTTTTCATGATTTCGCGTAATTTTACGTCGTTTGACTTTAACATCTACGGATAGAAATTATTTATAGAGAGATAATGTAAATAAAACTACAACAAAGTATCTTAATGTGATACGTACTGCGCTGATTTCACAAGGCTTATGTAATCGGCAGCATCGATCTTACTCGAAACAAAACGCTAAATTGTTGTCCTAATGGACGTGCAATGAAAGTATATGTCTCTTAGGACGTAAATGTCCTAAGAGACATATACTACTCTTGTTGACAAGAAAAACCTGTAATAGCATCTATATAGCTATGAAGCGTCTTAACGTCGCTGTCGGTTTAAAGAAACCTTAAAAAATATAAGAATTGATGACATTATTATTAGCCGAACGTGCCAAACACGTTTAGCTAGTTACAGAGAAAGAACGCTCCTGCATTACTTTCAGTTACAACAAATCCTTCTTTATCCTAGTGAATGGCATTGTTCCTGTTACCGTTAGTCAACGTTAATAATAGACATTTGAAGTAATGTATTCGCAGACAAAATATAATAATGATGCGAAGCCTTCTAATAATATAATGTATTTAACTATCAAATCTGTTAGCTTAGCAAGTATTCACCATGGCAAGCGGCGTTTCACTCTAACTCAGATATTAATAGCAAACCACTGAAGAACAATTAACCAGACTCATATACTGCCTTCACGTTACCGGTTGTTTCTGTGAACGCCTCTTAAAGCAACTAAACATCTTTTTAATGCTGAGGATTAAGAGGATACTAAAGGAGGCTTGCAGACGGGCTGCAGGGATATGTCTTTAGCGCCGGTGGCCCGCCGCAGTGAGATTCGACAGTGCAGTCTGCCGACCTAGACGCAACAGCCCGGAACATCTGTGAGTTTTGTAGGGGACGCACCGGCAGATCATCGCCGCTCCAGATTTTCAAAAAGGAATCCTTGTCGTCGAAATCGATTCAATAACATGCTAGCAACCACTATGGAAGTGCCGCAGCTCCCGCTATCACCGACGACGAATGACTTTCTGAACCAGGTCCTGATCGCAGCTTCGAATTTCGCAGTCGATCGCCAGCACATTCTCAGAGTAGAGGTGACGCTAAAGATTATCTAGTGAAACTATGGGGTGCCTTTGTCTTAGCGCAACTCGTATCGGAAGCCTGAGATACAGTCAATATTTTCGTATTGACAAAAGCGTGGGCAACTGGCCCATTTGTATTACCGGAATTTTATGTTATCCATTAATTTGCACAGAGAGATGCAAGCAATATCTGCGTGAGCAGGTGTCAACAAGTGCATTCTGACTCTGATAGAGAAGTTTGTCGACGGCATACAAGCTATAGCAGACAATACTTCTCGCGCCACCATTATCGTGGCAAGAAGTTTCAACGTGCGCCTAGACCAGCCAACCTTGAGCAGGGTCCTAATCCTATGGGAATGATCCTAATGGAGAATCGTTGCTGGAAAATCAACCCTAATACGGCGCCAATATTTATCGATCCTGCAGAAAGTTCTGTCGTAGACGTCTTTCCATCGAACAGAGTAGAGATAAAATCAAATACATAGGAGAGAATAATTTCTTCAGTAAAAAAGACAGTTCCTTTCTGTCAGATTAAACCTTCGCTTCGGATTAGATCTCTGCTTCAGGACCTGAAGGAATAAACCTTTATTGCGTAAGTCGGACTCGAAGAGACGCCTCGGGTCAGCTGACGTTAAAGTTTACTCGCATAATTTCGTGGACGGCTTTGTTCAGCAAATGTCTTCGTTCCGAACTGGTTCTTCTTCCGTAGCAGAATGCAATGCTTCTCGTTATTTCAAAAAGCAAAAGCGACTCAAGCCAACCGATTCCGTGGCGCGGGATCGCGAAGAAAAACGCCTACTATGAGTTTTCTTTATCTGCTAGTAAGGAGACTAAACGTGTTCTTGGAGACTGTGAAAGCGATACTCAAAAAGCAATTCAAATATCAAACGAATTTCAAGTATCCCTCGGCAGTATATTTACGCAATGTTTATAATCTTTGAAACTGTCTTCGACTCCGGCCCTATCAATTAAGTTCTAAACATCCTCGTTGATGTCGGAGTTTTTATGGAAGCGCTTAACCCAATAACACAGACAATCCAAGAGAAAAGGGTAACATTCGATGATGCTGTTTTAGAGCCGCTAGTGTTTTTCCGGACTACAAGTATGGGCCGAGGTAACAACCTAAGCCCCTTCCTCTTTTAGGTCTTTTCAAGGGGATTCCTGACAAGATACGTGGTCCGAGAAGTAAATACCTTCTGTGCAAACGATTCAGTTACTTACAGAAGCAGTAGCATTCACATGCAGGAGGTCTTGGCCAGGTTCTTAGAATTGGGACCGACTATTAAGCAAATTAGAACCGTGACAATGAAATTTAGACAGAGTTGAGGCGCGTGAAACGCTATATCCTTATGGCCGATGGTACAAAACGGCTTTGAGAATTTCGTTCTCAATACTTAACTTTCAAAGATTACCCTCTTAAGTGGTTTGCGACTTTTCATCTCCAAAGTTGCTCCTGTTGCCACATACGGGATGAGCTTAATCTGTCAGACAAGCAATAGTTTTTGCAGTTAAGGAAACTGTAGACAGATATAGAAAACAAGCAGACATACGGAATAAAAATTTAAAAAAAAATTATCAAGACTATATCGAGTCTATATCGAGAGCAAAAACAAAAAGTGTGTATGGCTGACGATCAATGTAGATATATGCCAACTCTGCCGGATCAGATGACTCCATTAACTTAGACACGCTGAGCCCAATGATTTTCGACTACGGCGGTCTTTTGTTCGTATAAAAGGCTCGATCCTTCCTCCTTAACCATGATGTACTAAACAGTTTCGTTTAGGGCCGTAATGTTAGTTACCAACTGATATCGCAGTACATGATAAAAATTTTAATTTGACCGTTAATCGAACTCTATATGTCAAAATTATTGTTTGATTATTGATTTTCTTATGCACATATATATACATGTAGCCAATTATACCCGTATTCATAATCCTTAGTTGTAAACTTACTATGTTTCAGTTCGCACCGCTATCGCAAAAACTACAATACCGAGGTTTGTTACAAACAGCTTAAAATAAAGCTTAGATCCACCAGTAGTTCCATTAGCTATTTCCATAGTTCCATAGTTAATTAACTGGATTACTTATTTTGGTTGGTTTTCTTGCTCTCAATCAAAATGGACTTCTTTGCAACTTTGCACGAAAACCATTCAAATAATCGGTTTATTATTTTTACCATTGACTACCCACTATTATTACTTGGAAGATTGTACAATGAACTACATAGGAAATCACATGTTACTTAATTCACTAGGTCCTTGATCTAAAACTGCGCCTGGTATTGCTTCCTTCTCGATGAAATTAAGTGCTGTTAGTCAACTGACCTGTCGTAGTACTAAATGTATTTTGTTCAAACAAAATAAACCCAGTCAAATATTTATAATAAATATAGCCCGAAGACAGGCTTGCATTTGCCTTTGACAGCTTCTACCAAGGAACTGAAAACATTTCAGGATTTCGACAGTAAACCATTAACATAATTTACTGTAATTCAGATAAATAATACAGAATATTATTCTTGCAATAAAATTGTCGTACACTTACACGGCTATGCAGAAGCTTATTAAATCCGTCCAAATAAAGAACAGCTATCCGTTTCCATATTCACCTTTGCTATTTGTTTTCATTGTGTGATAGTGTTCAGACTAACCGGAAGAGTTCTTGTTACAGTCTTCAAGAGGGGTGGGTGACGGGGCGAGCTCATCGTCCGCTAGAAGACATTCCATTGAGCCTATGTCGACGCCTAACTCAGGTAGTCGCACTCCAAAACCCCCTCTGAATTCGTTGTCCTCAATGTCTCTGTCGGCTGCCGTGCTGATGAGGTCGACCATATCCGAAGATGAGTCGTTTAAACTTTTATAAGTTAGCAGTTGCTGTTGCTGTGCTTGCTCTTCGCGCTCTTGCCGCTCCAGCTCTTGTCGGAGATCAGGGCAAGATACATTGCGCCCAATCAGAAGAGGTATAGCCAACTGCAATAAAGAGGAGAGGCCGTACATTAACGTTTAAGGTAGTTTAGATACTGTCGGTTCTTAGAATATTTGTCACATTCGTGGCCTAAATCGCCTTAACCGAAGTACATTGAATTCAATACGCTGAGTTAATCATGAGACGCATACTTCTATTTGCTAACGCTGAAATCTTCTTGTTTCCTTATTTATTTCGAAACTCGCTAGCTAAAGCTGAGCAACCTTATTCAAGAAGAAGAACGAGGGAGAGCAAAAGCCTCGTCCATGATCGTGCGCGCCGCTATACCTCAGCTAAATGTAAATAGGGGTCGTGCCACATCGGAAATAAGGGTTCTGGAGGACTGCAGCTAAATTAGCTGCAACTTAAGTTTCATTTTGAAGCAAGGGGAGTGTTTGTCTCTTAAAAAAACACTTCACAAATTTCACTTTTCTGCTTGGACTGACCTATCTGCGTTTTAGGTTCGCATATAACTGTGGTATACTATACTAAAAAAACTAATATTAATAATAAGCTTCAGAAATTAATTTGCAGATAAAAGACCAGATAGATCTGTGTAGTGCCTGTAGCATTATAATTTTTCTTTCCTTTTTTTCCTTTTACAACTGCCAAGCCCAATTGAACGTCAAAATCTTTCCTAAATATGTTGGTTTTATTTGCCATAAGTCAAGAAACAAGTAAAATATGCACTACAAATAAATCTTAGATTAATATCAAGAATTCCGTAAGAGATTATATTAGATGTTTTTAGAATATGTGCGAAAAGTCACGATTTTTAGTTTTAAGGAACGAGCAGTAACACGAGTGAGGGAACCTACTATTTAGCTTAACAACAATAATATTACAACAAAGGGCAGTGCAAAGCTTTAAAATGACTAGGCTTATCGTCAAATTTGATTTTCTATGCATGTTGTTGCTAGAGCTGTCAAATACGTGCCTTGCAGTTAGTGTTCGTAGCACAAAGTAGTACCGCTTAAAGAAGACACAATACAATTGGAACGTGTAGCTTTAGAATCAGTTTTATTATTACTAGCACACAGGTTAAGCTAAAGAAATAAATCCACAGCAAGCCATTTTTAACCCTAGTACTTGTCACGCTTACAGAACTATCAGGCTTCACCGTGCCTTTATTACTCCCGTATCTTTATTTGCTACCTTTGCGAATAAATATATGAGAAGGAAACGCATCAGTTACTGCCAACCCACTCTCTTGCGCGGTGACTTTTTAGATCTATATTGTGAAAGTAAAATTTTCTGTGGAATAATGCATTACAAAACTTTAGTAATTAGTAGCTCATTGTTATTGTTTTGCTCGGGTTTTCATCATACATTATTCTTAGCGTAGACTGATATTCTAAGAACAATAGCAATTTAGGAGAATGAAAGAATCCTGTCACCTATGTAGCTACCTAAAATGTTACAACTTATTATTGCATGAGAAGGAGTATCGACAGACGCGATTCAAAAGGTCACATGGCAATAATTCAATGATGTTTGTGCATAATCGATTATACCTATTCTTTTTTTTTCTATGTATCACGTATTGAATACATAACCACAAAAAAATTACAATACAACCAGATGAATGTATTGGCTTTCTTTTAGATTAAGTATCATTATTATCATACATATACACATACAAATATTGGCTCCTTTCGTTCACTTTGGGTTTACCCACCAAATGATGAATTTTGTTCTAAAAAGTGGTTCAGCAAACGTGCTTCAGTGTTCGGTACCTAATTGCTCGAACAGAATCGTTACCATCTGATCAGGCATTTTTATGCTGGAAGATGTTGTTATTAAAAACAGTAAAAGTTAAAATTTCTTCGAGATACGTTATGAATATTGGAATTTAAAATAAGATTAAAAAAGCTCCTTTTGAAGGCTGCCTGTTTCTTTTTACCTAGTTACTAAAAGTGTATAACAAATAGATGTATGTGGTTAAATCAAAGAAGGCTTCCACGAAATAACGGCTCTAACTACGCAACAGACAATAGAAGTAGAGTACCCACCGAGTTTAGCCTGTTTCACAAATCTAGCGCCTGGTATAGAGAGACCAATTATAATCGCTTCAACCTACGTGCCCTCTAATGATTTAGCTAAATGTCATCCATCTAAACTTTACATCGAAATCTAACTACGCAGTGCACAGCTTTGGCGTCATCCTGAGATTATAGATAACAGCTGTCGGTGCTAAAGACAGGCGAAGCCACAGGTATGAATTTGCATTCAGTACAGGCCTCTATTTATAAAATTCGAAAAAAAAATTGTTCTAAAGTATAATAATAATAATCGTCTGCCTCCAACAAAATGCAACTTACATTGTTACAAAATGCAAGTGCCCGGTTGCCATAAATAGTGCGTTGTCTTATTTTCAGGTTACATTCATACGACATATCATCAGGAACAGCCGCTGCAATACGCAAGCAGCAATGCCATGCTACCCGTATATCGATCGATTTTTTTCAAACAAGATCTTATTCCATTTTCAACACATTGTGAAGAAGATTATCGATTTCAGTATATTATATTGAAGCTAAATCTAAAAAGAAACAGAAAATTTGCTTTTGTCAGAAAATTCACATACTCGCTCTTGTGGTCCAACACTATAACATGCCACGAGGATGGTCGACACACTGTCGTACAAACGTAGCAAATAATGTCGTCTACACGAAAGCGAAGACCAGAATAAACGTATTGCTCTTCGGCAAAAGATATTACTTTGTAGAAAACATACGGTAATACTTTTGAAGTTCGTACAGCTCGATTTAGGTAAAACTTGTTGCTATAGTTGAGACAATAGGGAAACGCTCTTTACTTTGCTGTCATTTTGGTATCGCCACAGTATGCAAAACAACAATGCTTTTAGTTTTATTTCGTAGCTTAAATGGGATCTCGCTCTCCCTATATGTATATATATATATATATACATATAGGATTGCCTTCGGTTCAGTATGGATGTGCGGAGATGCACCTACCATACATAGCTATTCTGTAATATTTGAGCGAGGACGCTTATTTGTTTACCCGTACACTAATAATTTCATGGTTTGGTTAATATACACTTACGATTAATTTAGTAGATTATTAGATATTTTAAATATTTGAGATATTTATTATTATTATTAGGTATTTTTGTTTTTGATATTGTTTTAAATGTTAGATATTTGTAATTATGTATTATCTACAAGTTCTAAATATTTCATATATTATTTAAGATGTATATTTTAAGATAATTTCGTTTCATTAAGTTCACGAAATCGTGCCTAAATTTTGTCAGCTCTCGTTTAAAAATCTGTCTGTTGTTGTTGAACCAACTACATATATATGTATATACATGTATGAGAAAGAGTGAGATTGTGGAAACTACCATTGATACTCGGAGCATCGCGGTACAATATGTCGATAACAGTAAATTAGTATTCTCAGTGCGCTACGGCTTCGTTTGTTGGTTGGTATCAATGTCTGATTAGATGTATAAATTATTATTATTATCTTTCGTGTATAGGCAATTCTGAAGTTAGGTCATCTGAACAAATTTTCTTTCCAGTAACGAGGCTTTGTTTTGCCTCTTCCACAGGATCGACCATTTTACAGAATAGCTGAACTCCCCCTGGGAAGTTCACTCAGCGCTGCGAACTAATACTCTGAGTTAACGTGTGGTTGTGCAATTAGATACACATATTCTAGTTTCATAGTTAATTGAAACAACGAAAGAAACTTCTCTGCTATAGCAATCATTTTCGTAATTTTCAACCTTGTCTTTTGATTTGATGTCAATGATGGGATGGATTGAGTCCGTCTTTGCGTTATAATAGCATAACCTACTTGATTTATAAGTTGAAAATGGATAAAGGTTGTTTTAGGTAAAACGACGCGGCATGAGGTGAATGGAGAGCTGCACATACAATCGTATAATCCTGCGTTCGATTCCCTAACGAGGCTCAGAGATTCTTCAAACTCTATTTGGAGTCTTGATTTCAGCTTGCCTTGCAGCTGCGTTTTGCTGAATTGAACATCAACATACTCCAGTCTCATAATATTTTTTTAGACGTTTGTGTTGTGCAGTTCGCTTGGTCATATAAAAGGCCTTAATCTACATAAGAGTAGCCGCTGTTACGCAATATTGATAATAGGTCACAATTTTAACAAGCTGATTGGTTGATGTTGCCATTATAGGTGTAGTATTTTTAAGCTTCCAGCCCTCATAAAACGAGTTTTCCTCCTTTCGTCTACATCAGCAAGCGAAACAATTCTAAGATAACTGATTATGAATTGTTTACTATCATCATCGATTTTGAATAGTCATAGGTATGTACTATATCGTTCTCAACAATTTAGAGAACACTCCTTGCAGTTTACTTGTACATATATCTAGTATTATCAGCAGACAGTTAGAATAGAGCTGATAATGAAAAATGAGCTCAAGAAGCAATTTTGAAGACGGCGATATAAGCTTGCGTATATGAAGTACAAATCTATGCATGTAAATCTTCATTAGGCCTACAGTACGTGATTGTAGTAAAAGCCCGCATAATTTTTTACTTATGAAATAGTTATTATTTAAAATAGCTTTTTTCTGCCCAACATATTCATTATTTTCTTAACTGTACTTGTAACGATCAGCATTACCAGGGTTTCGGTGCTCCTATAGTATTTTGTAGCGAACATCTCGATAGACCTACGATCACCTTTGAATGCACTTAATCCCTGAATTTGTTCCGTTGTGATAAACGATTGGTTCGCGACACAACGGGCAGTAATTTTAAATATCGGTGCTACGGAGTTCATACACTGTCTTGAGACGCCTTGTATGTCTTCTTACAGGAACGTAGGTAACTTCACTTTACTTCAATTGGGTCTGCATCAGGCGCCTTTTAACACAGTAATAGCACAACAGATTAACTAGAGGCATTACCAGCCCAATGTGCATTTACGCAGAGCTGCAACAGGATCATATCACAATTGTTTTCTTTCGGTACGCTAAGACGCATACAGGTTGGTG